CATTTTACCCCGATCTTGTTCGACATGCATGTGCTGCAAGAGATTTATAGAAGGTCTCAAAGCAGAAGCGTTCACCCCGATCTTGTTCGACCTCTATGTGCTGCAAAAGACTGTGAATATGCCCGACAACACACGTGTTTACCCCGATCTTGTTCGAGCTCGATGTGCTGCTCGAGACTGTGAATATGCCCGACAACACACGTGTTTACCCCGATCTTGTTCGAGCTCGATGTGCTGCGAGAGATCTAGAGAATGCCCGAAAACGTACTCGTTCACCCCGGTCTTCTTCGAGCTCTATGTGCTGCGAGAGATTTAGAGAATGCCCGAAAACACATTTTACCCCGATCTTGTTCGACATATATGTGCTACGAGAGACTTACAGAACACCTGACAGCACACGCGTTTACCCCGATCTTGTTCGACCTCTATGTGCTGCTCGAGACTGTGAATATGCCCGACAACACACGTGTTTCCCCCGATCTTGTTCGAGCTCGATGTGCTGCGAGAGATCTAGAGAATGCCCGAAAACGTACTCGTTCACCCCGGTCTTCTTCGAGCTCTATGTGCTGCGAGAGATTTAGAGAATGCCCGAAAACACATTATACCCCGATCTTGTTCGACATGCATGTGCTGCAAGAGATTTATAGAAGGTCTCAAAGCAGAAGCGTTCACCCCGATCTTATTCGACACCTATGTTGTGCGAGAGATTCAGAGAAAGCCTCAACGCAGAGGCGTTTACCCAGATTTTATTCGATATCGATGTGCTTCAAGAGGTTCAGAGGCTAGAGAATGCAGCAAAGCAGAAGCATTTACCCCGATTGCTGTTCTATGTATATGCGCTTGCTTGAGCCACCAACGACCAAGCTGAAGCAACAAGTCACGTGACCTGCACGCCCACACCAGAAAGGGTTCACCCAAAGGCCACTCCAAACTACCATAGGAGTCTCGTAATGTAGATCCCCAAAACTCTGTTCCAATCATTTACACCGCAGCCGCATCAGCCGCTGGATCCCACGACCGCCAAACCCTTAACACCAAAACCCGGAGTCTGTGAAGCCTGAAACATTTGCGATTTATTCATGGCCCGTTCTCATTGTAAAAGCTTCAGTATGGAGCTCTGACAGCCATCGCAGACTTTTTTGGATCGTGGCTTCACTCCCAAACGACGGAACAAGGTGCTCCCAAAACAAAACCTGACTGATGCGCTCTCTTTTTTCTGTTTGCTGAAAGCTCAAACTGCAGATTTCTGTATGTAAGGTTCCTCTACAAGTCCGGGAATCGTGGCTTGGCGACAGAAGTCGGACCGCGAGGAGGACGGCTCTCTGGAGGCAACAATTTGCATCAGGTCTTAAACGTGCAATATAGCGGCCTGAAGAATTGCCAATTCTATTGCTGAGGTTCACATAGCTTTACTATATTGAACATATGATGATATACCGATATACCCCAAAGCCGTGGTCTTTTAAGAAGCTACATAGCAAGGTGATTGAAAACATGAGGCATCCTAACGCAGCCTGTCCGTTCCTTCTAACAACAACTGGACACTGTTTAGTTCTACAGCCGTGGAGGCCAGAAACAGCGAGTGGCCATCTGCCGCGCACTAATCCGTGCCCCGGCCGCTTGCGGTTGCAGAGTTTCTGTTTTAACTTTCTCAGGATTAGGTCTAGGTAGCACTCGGCTTTTGCACATGCGACTGTTCTTGTTGTTGCTGAGTACAACCATGAAACACTATGATTATCATACTGACCAGGGCATGTACGCCTTTGTTACCACTGGGTTTAGAATTCAGCGTTTGCAGCTTCCAGATCTGGTGACCGGTGTATGGTTGTCGGGGATTCGAGCTGCAATGTCAGGGCTTAGGTTACGGACAGGTTTTGAGAAACCCCCCGTAATGCGCTCAGAAGCTTAAAACAGTTCCAGTTCGTGCTATTGCACATGTGTTTCCCGAAACTGCGCCCCAGGCAATCCTGCGGTGATGCTCCTGGATGAGGCCGGCATTATCATAAACAAAGTCGCATCCCCGATGAAACCCAGTACCTGAGCTTCAAATCCGTAGCCAGAACCCTCCAGCGTGGCATGGAACCGGTGCTCGGAATCCTCCAGCAACTCCTCGCCAGCGGAAAGCCTCGTAGCCTACGTATAGACCGGAAGCCGCAAACCTTAGCAAATCGCTGTGAAATCTCAAAGCTTCCATAGTCTGCATGCGTGACGGTGTGCCCTGGACCCAAACTCGAAACTCGAAACCTCGAGCTGGAAGTGCTCAAGGTCGACCCCGATGGGGACTTCTCAATCTGAAGATAGCTGAGGCCGCAAGCCTGAAACCCGACACCCTCAACCCCGTGCTTCCACGCACTCTAGCCGGAGAGACGAAAAGCCCCCGAAACCCCACAGCCTCCACTCCGACCCGATGCCTCCCATCCGGAACCCCAGACACCGCTTGCACCCTGCACCGGAGCATCCGACACCCTCCACGGAGAGGCCACCAGTGCGCTGGACTCCCAGAGTGAACAGATCGTTCAGAAAGCCCTGGAGGCCTCAGTGTTGCTCGAGTTTGTGGGCGTTGCAGGGGTCACTTAAGGTTTGGCGTTGAAGCTTCCGGGTTTGCATATAGTTAGAGCCTACCATTCGGGTTCATGTCAAGGTCGACGGTTTCATGTTCTGTGTCCCGTGTCTCGGGATTGTAGCAGATTTGGAAATGCAGGGTTGGAGCTCTCAATTACGGACAGCTCACTGTCTGGGTCTTGATAGTCTTTAGACTCTAGGCTGCCTATGACCTCCCATGCATCCTGGTTCTAAGATGCTCTAAGACTCTAAGCCCCCAAATCCAGAATTGCAACGCTCGTGACAGGCGTTGAGTTGTGCACCTTCGAAGATCTCGACCTCCAGGGTTTCAGTCTTTGTTGGGCATGTGTGGCTGTACTGGCATGGCTTTGCGGCATCACTGTTGCGCAAGGGGTGCTTTGGTGTTTGGTGTGTTCTGGCCATAACTCTAGGGGTGTTGAGGATTTGCGATTGCGAGGTATTCGCTTAGCCTGATGATGTTGTGTTGAATGGAGAAATTTGGTGGATTTTTTTGGCTTGTAGAATTGGCGCCCTCAGGCCGCTCGTGACGGGCGCACGTCCTTTGCCATCGCCCACCGACTTTCGACGATCTCTGGCTGCGACGTCATCCTGGTCAATGCTGATGGTCGTGTTGTTGAGTCGGGCACACATGACGAGCTCATGGCGCACAAGGGAGTCTACTATAAGCTGCAGATGCAGTCAAGGAAGTAGGAGAAGAGCCATCTCCGTATGGAACGGCCCTCGCTACTGGTAGCAAGGGCAAACGACGCAGGAAAGTCAAGATTCAACAATATTGTTAATGAAAGTTCTGTGCAGATTCCTGCATGGTGGTTTGTTTGCAGATCTTCCGGCTCGGAAGGCCATGTTTCACCTTCTGTTGTGTTGGTTCGTCTTCCGGCTAGGAGGAGTCCCTGATGCTTCTTCCGGTGAAGCCCCGGGTGCAAAGCCCAGGTGGGCCGCGCGGGAGGTAGTCTGCAACAGGTTTGTGAGTGTTCTGTTTTTCGCAACTCCTGCGGCGTCAGCGCACAATGGTGCGTGACTCATCTTCGAACACCTCTCGGACGATCTGCCTAGTGTTTGGCGTCTAGAGAGGGCCTGTCTCCGTGAGGGCGAGATGCTCCACGAGGGCAGAAGCGAACTTCCCTTGTCAGCTGGCAGTTTAGCAGGCACTCAGGTCCTAGCTAGTCAACTACTCGTACAATTATTTGCACAGTCCCCAAGCATGCCTGAGACCCACTTCTCGAGAGGACGTCTGTTGATCTGCCGAATCTGTGTCGGACACTGAACTGACCTGTCGGGCTCCACATCGCCGGCAAAGATGCGCTGGGTCTTCCATTGTTGTTTGAGCCTTCGGCATGTGCAGGTTGTGGGCTGAACGGGATTTGATTCTGTTGTGTTTTTACACTTCAGATGCTTGGGATTTGTCTGCATGTTCCGGACGTAAGCTCCGAAGGCTGCACAAAACTATTTTTATAACTGCTTCATGGAATGAGCGGCTTGAAAGTTATGCTTTGCACGGTTTTCCGATTTGTACAACTAACTATAGGTACTAGGGTTAGCAAGCTCATAGTGACTGAGCTTCCAACACCGATGAATCAACATCTTGCACCTGTCACTGAGAAATGTGAAGAGACACAGGGGCTTCTGCGCATGTACTACCGTGGGAAGGCGCTTTGTTACATGCAGTCAATGGCAAACGCCACGGCGTACCTGCGAATCATAGAGACAACGACGTATGACCAAGGCTGGCGGAGTTTGTGAAGCTGGTGGTTGCGCTTGAGCAGAGGGACTGCAAGCTGCGATGTTTAGGGTGTGGGGTTTCGTGCTTTGCAGTCCGCGTCACATTATGGCATCTTGACTACAGCCGAACCTGCAATCCGCTAAGCATTCAGCATGTATATATGTCTGGATCTGCTCAAGCATATCTTGGGGATCTATGACTCCTATGCTGTGGAAGTGAACCATAATGATCTTCCATAAGCACTGTAAAGCTCTAAACCCGAATCCATAAAGTAAGTCTTGAGCACAGACAATACCGAAACCCGTGTGGTTAGCATGAACCCATAATCTTATCTCCTAAAGACTGCAAACGCTGGTGGCAAAAACCCCATTGCGAATACGGCTCAAGAAGAGCCCGTGCTTGCTTTTTAATCGGAAAGCTGTGCGCGTGGCAAAGGTCAGAACAAAAGAATGTCGAAGCGGGCACAGACCCACTAGTCTAGATATCATGAACACAAGCATTCTCATGTAAACCACTGGCAGCGGCAATGATTAACACAGTACTACCTGGACCAATGTAGCGAGATGAGAAGAATCTGTACAGATGCAATCACAGACGGCAGTTATGATGAATACTATCATCATCCTAACGCTGATGGTCACACTGGCTGGCAATGATTGGGCTTTGGTGATTGTGCTTGCCAGCAGCAGCAGCTGCTGCTGCGCTTGCCGCTGTTGCTGTTGCCGTTGCCGTTGCTGTTGTTATTGTTATTGTTCTTGGTCTTGTTCTTGGTCTTGTTCTTGTTCTGGTTGCTGTTGCTGTTGCTGTTGCTGTTGCTGTTGTTGTTGTTGTTGTTGTGGTTGTTGTTGCTGTTGCTGTTGCTGTTGCTGTATCCGACACGGATCACAGAAGGCACGATCACAGACTTGCCGCACATGCCAGGCCTTGTAAGTTCTGATGGCTCGGCACTTGTGATGTAAAAGCCGGTAGATCGCAAATTGGCAATAATTAAGCACTTATCAACGCTGCGATAACAAAGTTATCCATTGCCGGATCCCAAGCCTGTGCACTTGCAGCTTTTGCATGCAGCACTGCTATACCATAGCACCCAACCATGCTTTCAAGACCCTGAAACCCGTAATGATACATTTCCAGAGTGACTGCAGAGTGGATCAACCCCAAAAACTGAAAATCTAGTCGCCCGCAGTTCCTTTTCAGGCCATGTCGCTCGGACATGCCGGCGCTTGTTCCCGCCTTGCCAGGTCCTTCGTGGTAAGTCACACTAAACTTCAATGCAAGCAAAAACCTGACTCGCGACACCACAAGTCTCTCCCATTCAGTAACACTCGAACCTTTTAACTCGCAAGACTTCGCCGCACTCTGAGGGTTCACGTCTCAGGACTTGGGGGCTACGTATAAGCACTGGTATAAGCAAGGCTCTCTATGGCGCTTTATGGATTCGGGTCTTGGGCTAAAAAGTTCGGGTTTTTGCGGCAAAGGTCAGGCCGATAGTGTTCACGATGTTGCTTACATTTGCATGTCAATACGTGGTTCAGTGTCTTTTTCGGCCAGCTTTGGCTTGTCGGATCAGACCGATGATCGTGATTCGGCACGTGGCATGGAAGTTCGGCATATGGTTTATGCCGTAGGGTTGGAGGATGTAGGTTTGAGACGGTTTCAGATTTCAAGCAGGGTTGCACCCTGAGCTACTCCGAAGCTTGAACGTAAACCCGCTTAAAGCCTACATATACTTATATGCTACCCCCCCCCCCTCAAAAATCTATGTTTATTTACTCTTTGGTGGGCTGTTCCGGCTTAGACAGTCAGGCAACGATAACCCGAAACACAGTCCCCAGTTGAATCGTAGCTTAGTGTGTAAAAGTTGCCTATGAAGGAAATGAGGAACCAAGAATCATAGCCTTACAACTTCCTTGTAGTATACCTTGAAGAGCTTCATATAGAATACCCTATGGAATACCTTCCTAACTATAGGCTACAGAACACACAGAACACCTTGTGTACACTACCTTATGGAGTACCCTACAGAATACCTTATAGAATTCCCTATAGAATACCATCTGGGATACCCTGTACTCGAATACCTTACAGAAGACTGCCTATGCACTGCCCTCGTTTTCAGAAAACACAGCGGTTTGATACCACCAAATTTCCTGAAACGACACTCTTCGGAGCATTTGATGCTATCTAACTGCCCCTGCTTGTTGTCAGTACTTGCAATGGTCACTAGAGGGGTTCGATAGCACCAATTTTTTGAAGCAAGCCTTTCGGAAATCTTCGGAATCTATCGAACCTCCGGCTTCAGGTCTGCAAGGTGTAGCAGCTCCGATGGTGAAGCGACACCCTTCAGAAAATCTTGCGCTGTCGAGCCGCCCTTCGCTGCCCTCACGTTCGGAAAACGCAACGACTCGATAGCACCAAATTGTCTGATCGACACTTCGCAAAACTTGGTGCTATCGAATGGCCCCTGTTTGTTGACCGAATTTGCAACGGCTCGATAGCACCAATCTTGTGAAGGAAACCCTACGGTAGACAGCATCTCGATGGCACCAAAATATCTGAAAGGAAGCCCGTCGGAAAGTTTGGTGCTATCGAGCCGCCCTTTGCCGTCCTCATTGTAGCTTATTGAGTCAGAGATTTTTATGAAAGAAACAGGAATCTAGGCAAGTTGCTTTTAGAATACCTTACAGAATATCTTTTCTGCAAGCCTCAAAGAATTTCCTATAGAGTACCTTTGTAACCCTTATAGAATACCCTCTATATACCCTAGATATACTTTATTGAAGACCCCGTAGCTTCTAGGATACCTTATCGAATACTTTCCTATACATGCACTTTGTAGAATACCAAATAGCGTCCTCCGTATATATGCTATATAGAAGTAGAATACCAAATAACGTCCCCCGTATGTATGCTATATAGAATACCATCTGGAATAATCTATAGAATACAGTACCGGGTAGAATACCCCTTATGTATGATACCCCCTGCATACATTACTTTGTACCCTATACGAAAGTTGGTGCTATCGAGCGCCGCTCGCTGTCCTCATTCTCGGAAAACGCAGCGGTTCGATAGCACCGAAAGAGCAAAACTGTCCGAGCTCTTAGAAATGGCTCATTTCGGATAATTCGCAAAATTTCCACAATAGCCAAATTATCCAAGTTTGTCCAAATTATGTGAAATTGCTCGTTTCGGATAGTTCAGATAAATCGTAAAGTTTCCGAAAAATCCGATGTAAATTAGCGGCCAAGCGGAGTAGCGGCTTTGAGACATGAAGGGTTGCAACGTGAATTTGCTATGCGCATGTAGCAGACATGCACATGCAGACTGCCGCAGACATGCACCAGACTGTCACAAGCGCCGTGAAATAATATTACACCAGCGAAGACCCCAAACAGCAATAAACCAATCAAGATGTTGCGTGAATTTCGAACGAGACAGCAAACTCGAAACGACAGCACTTTGTACAGGACGGAGACAACAGTTTAGGGTTTAAGGTTAACGTTCAGGGTTAGGGGTTTAGGGCCTGGAGTCAAGCTTT